TTTTAAGTTTCGCGGATTTTGCGCACCAATATTCGCACGACGACGAACATCCTTTTGGGAATCGGGGATTTTGTTTTCTTGTTCTTCCGCTGCGCATGTGATGTCGCCCCCATGATTTCCCAACAATACCGACCGAACCACTATAAATTATGGTTTGCATTTCTATTATTTTTATTTACTTACTTTGCAATAGTTTCACTTCCTCCTTACTTAGATTTCACTAGCCTTACGAATAAACACGCTTTCAAGTTATCTTTCAAGATCATTTTTTAACATACAAAGATTTTTAAACCGACGTTTTAATCTGTTGCACTAATTTAACTCCCCCGCCCCCCCCTCCCCACCTCTTAGTGTCGACTCGATCCTAACAATAGGTTCATTCTTGATCTTCCAAATCAACAAAAGACTTTGTGCGATAAGGACTTTTAACAACCAACAACTAAATTGGTGAAGGTCCTCCCATTGTCTTAGCTAACCCCCTATTAGAATCCCTTTATTTTCTAAGTTTTTGAATAATATTTATTGAGTCTGTTTAATTTAGTTAGAGTCAGATAGAGGTTTATTTAATATTTATTTATTATTAAGAGTACAAGTCCTAATAGACTCTGGGTGGAACTCTATAAATAGAGATATATTTATTTTTTTTAGTAAAAAATCAAATAATATTCAGTCTTTTGACTAACCCTAGGAGGTCGATCCCCTTGAAGTGATCATCCCATTTTCATTATTTCTTCTACGATAAAAACCTAAGGTCTTATTATTTGGTATTAGAGTAGCAATCCTGGGCGTTCTTGTTGTAGTTATCATCATCCAAAAAAAAAAGGGAAAAGGCCGGCAACCACGCACCCCTACTTCCCCTCTCTAACACCACCGCTGTAGGGCATCTCGTCTTTCCACCATTATCGTTGCTCCTCGGCCAGCAACCTTCCACTCTCCACCACCGTCGTTGCTTCTCGGACAAGGCAACTCATCTCTCCACCACCGCCACTGCTCCTTGGCTAGTAACCCACCCTCCTCACTACCCCACCCTACTCGAGCGAGAAGGGTCACAACCACTATTTCCCGACCAACGAACCACCCCCCTCGTCGCTTCTACCGACGGTTGACACTCCCCCCCAACTGCGCCACCACTATTGCCTCTTGACCCTAACAACAACCTTCCCTCTTAGCGGTGATCAAAACAGGGCAACCCTACATCTTCTACTATAGCCGTCGGTCACGAAAGTTTCCCAACCAGCAACCACCGTCGTCGCTGCTCTCGACCAGTGACCAACCCCCTAATTGTCTGAGCAAGAACACACGGGATATTTCTCTTATGATACTGAGAGAGAATGATCCTCTATCGATACTCAATAGTCATCGTAAGATTGGCTACCACTCCCAATAATCGGTTGTACTAGATTTGGAACTTCCAAATCTATAAGTCTGATATCAAAGAGTTGAGTACTTATACATGACATCCTTGGTGTCTCAAGTCTAATGACCAGATATACCATTAGGACTACAGAATCGCTGTCTGATAATAAAGCATCATCAACCATCCAACATTTCATAAGCGGATCAATCAGTGAACTCATTCTCTAATGAGTACCTATATTGTATCCCTAGTGTCCCCACACGAGCAGCTATGAGACCAACTGCATCCATCATATGGACGAGTATACAACACACCAGTCTGTCTGGTTATCTCGATGTCCTTCTCGAGTAACTTATGATCGGGATTATTTATGGTATATGTTTAAAGGTGAATCGGTCTCATTATCATGATCTCATCATGATCCGAGAATATCATAATATATATATATATATAATGATAAATATCAAAATACAATAAGCAAAAAGATTGTGTGTCAAGTCACACGTGTTATCACTCACGTGATTGGCTTGTAAGGCACCTAGCAGTGCCTTCGTATGTGATTTTAAAAATATGTCAAATATCATGTACTCACAAGTCAAAATATGATTAAACTCATTTTTATCTAAAGCACAAAATAAAGCATTCATAGCTTTTGTATTTAACAAAAATAATTTTTTTTAAATAATTTCATTCATTCGTAGGTTTAGAGGGTCGTTGAAAATCATATTCGATAATGTTCCATAAATCAAAGTTTAAAGAAAGCAAAAAAACTCTCATTCGTATTTTTCAATACGTATAGTCTGTCCATTGAATATATGAGGACAAATGATAGAGTGACCCTCTTGAAAGTCAATAAAAGTCATTTCTCTTATGTGTTAAACTAAATGAGAAAAACCTAGGTTTGATACTAATTGTTATGATCAAGTCGGCACTAAGAGAGGGGGTGAATCAGTGCTTCTAGGAAAACGACATCATTCAAAAATATCATATGATAAAACCGTATTAGGAAGACGTTTAACTTTAAACATTTGCAAGAGTAGTAATGAGTAGGTAAAGTAATTACAAAATAAGTAAACAAGCAGAGAAAGGGAGGCACACTAATTTGATAGTGGTTCAATCGTCATAACCTATGTTTACTCCCGATTCCTCTTCACTCGAGGCCATTGGCTTCCACTACTGATCTTCTTTCCAATGTGTCACGGACAAACTTCTAAATAGGATGTTTGATGTAATGCTTATGTATGTCCGTGTCTTTTGGTATGTTCATGCTTTGTACAGCATATAGAGGGATGACCGAAGGCTTAATAGTCTCATTTTAGTTAGGTTGGTGGCCGCTTTAGGCTTGTAAATAAAGGTTGTGTCATGAGGACACGTGTGAGAGATTTTCGGTCTGTAGTGGATCATTTTACCCTTTGTTATGCAATTGTTCAGAACTTGTAAAGTCTGTTTGTAATTTGCATTGTCTATGAAGTGTTTTCGGATATGTTTACTTGTGGATCCCGAGTGAGGCGTTCTCTCTAGCCTGTTCTCTTTTTTGTTAGTCCTAAGGGACAATGGGAGGCTTCGGGGAGGCTGACCTTTACGGACGGACACGCAAAGGTGCCGCATGACTTAGGCAAAACCAGCTAAGTCTGTGATAAATAGGCGAAGCCCAACTACTCTTACAACTCTTTTCTCATTTTCACAGGTTCAAGAGTTAACCTTTACAAGCCACTCACCCCTCTCTTAAACTAAAACCAAAACTTAGAGTTAGAGGGGAATTCTTAAGGATTTACTATAAAGTTTTCATACTATTTTTGTTTTAGTTATTGTCTTGACCGAGCAGGGATGAGTGGGGTATTTATAGGCCATAAATAGATTCAAATTTGGAGCTAAAATTATCTCACCCTGGGTTTTCGGGGTATTAGTGATACCACTACCAGTATTAGACGGTAACATCGCTTGTAGACTGACACTAGACGAAACCATCGTCTAATCTGGACAGTACCACCGCCTAACAGAGCCTCGAAGATTGAGTTTTAGCGATGCCATCGCTTGATAGGATGGTACCACCACCTGGTAGCATTAATTGCTAACGGTACCACCGCCCAGTCTGGGCGGTACTACTGCCCAAACCACCTAAGAGGTCGAGCCTCAAGCGGTTCCACCGCCCAGTTTGTGTTGTGCCACCACCTAACGTAGCTCTAAGTGGCTAAATGGACCATTCAACCGGCCCAAGTCAGTCATATTTTGGGTATAGTTGGCCCCTAATTGAGTTAATAGGATTTCTCCGAAAACTAATTCAAATTAAAGTTCTAACAACGATAGTTAAAGCTAAAACAATTATGATATAAGCAATTTAAGTTGTCTGACACGTCAAGTATTCAACCGATACCTCGGTGAACTTTCACGAACTCCTGGTGATCTTCCAGCGAACTTCCAACGAGTTTTCGGTGAACTCCCAATGAACTTCTAGCAAGCTTTCGGTGAACTCCCGATAAACTTCTGGCAAGCTTTCACTACATCGTCTGATCCTTCGGTGTATCCCTTGATTCATCCGACCCGATTCTCGATCATTGACTTCGACCTAACATTCGATTCTTCTTTATTTTTATTTTTATTTTTACACTGTGACTTTGGACATGAATCCATGGGCTATATATTGACATATGTGTTGAGGCAATACTCTTTTGACTAGCTAGATGGGAGCCATCTAGCTCAACCGACGGTTGCTCTTATGGTAATGAGATCCTCACATCCTCTTTTGAAACAAAGGGGGGCTATCATAGGATTCTTGCTCAGGCAATCAAAGTTTTTGTGGCTAACACGATCATAATTGAAACAAACAAAGGACAGTTTCTCATAAGAAAGAAGTTAAAAAAATTTTATCTTATAGTTAGCCAACTCAAATGCCATGTTTCAGAGGTCGTGAGAGATCCACCTCCACAATATCCCACACGAAATGTTCTCCCTCAAAGGACAAAGAACGTTCATCTAGTTTAAGAAACAATCTACCAAAGATCACTATCATAGCTTACGTATTTTTGAAAACTCATCACCCTCAAAGACGACAAAATTCTTATAAGAGTTCTTCTTGATGCGTTAAAAAATGTCGGATGAGAGATACGAACAACCTTCGTTAGAAACCCTTACATGACCACCCGAGATGATTCGGACCTAGTTGCTTAAGACCCTCACTGCTTATATGACTTATCAATAGTATTAACAGCAGGCATGAAGGATAGAGCCGAGGCGAGATTTTAGCCTACTCTATGGTACGAGTTTCTCACCCATCAAGAAGTCCACTCTCTACTAGAATTACTTTTCGCATCTACCTTAGAATGAATGTTTGGTTGCCTACAACTAAAGATGGCAAGAAGATTTATTTTCTATTGTTGAGACGTGTCAAATCGTAATCTCCTGGATTGATCAAGTTGGACCATAGGACAAGGATCCTCTCCGATTGATACAATATCTGATTCTGCAGTGATCACATCTCAACCGTTTTTTATCTTTAAGTCACATCTTTACCGTCCATTTATAAGGGGGATTGTGAAATGGACGTTTGAGATGTGAGGAATGGGTCGACGGGTGGTCGAGATGTAACGATCGATTTCCCTGGAGAAGATCCCAACACAAGGTTAAATACATGGCCATCTCACCCGCCCGCCATTACCACTGAGTTTTGGCGGGAGGGATGGAGAGAGACATGGAGGAAGTGGAGGGAGGAGAAGAAGGTGCGCCCGTGGCGGCGGAGGAGTACCCGGTGTGGAAGAAGAACACCCCTTTCCTCTACGATCTCGTCATCTCCCACGCCCTTGAGTGGCCCTCCCTCACCGTCCAATGGCTCCCCTCCTCCTCTTCCTCTTGCGGTAGCGCCGCCACCCATCGTCTCCTCCTCGGCACCCACACCTCCGACGAGGCCCCCAACTTTCTCATGGCAGCCGACGTCCTCTTCCCGTTCCCGTACCCGCCTCCTCCCGAAGCCCCAATCCCAAAGGTTGAGATCTCGCAGACCATTCCCCACCGGGGAGAGGTCAATCGTGCCCGCTTTATGCCGCAGAGACCCTCGATCGTGGCCACCAAGACGTGTGGCGCGGAATTACGCGTGTTCGACTGTGGGCAGCGGCCGCCGAGGCCAATCGACGGTACGGATGCTGGACCGGATCTCGTGCTGAGGGGTCATGCCACGGAAGGTTATGGGGTGTCCTGGAGTCCCCTCAAGGAGGGCTATCTCTTGAGCGGATCGTACGATTTCAAGATTTGTTTGTGGGACGTGGGAATGTCTCCAGGGGAGAAGCTTCTTGACGCAAAGCATGTGTTTGAGGTAATGGGTTAAAGCAATTCCACCCCGTTCATAGACTGTTTCACCCTGCTGAATGGACGAAATTATCCTAAAACAAAGGCATTATGATTTGTATTTTCTTTGATTCACTGATAAGAAGAATCTCAGTTTTTGAACACCAATTGCTTGAAAATGCAGAAATTGTTGATTAATATTGAAATTTGATCCCAACTCTTATATGCGCATCTTGCTGATTTTATTCTGTGGGATAGATCTTGTTCAAGTAAGGAATCAATTCGTAACCTAGAAAGATTTGCTGAGAGGTTCAGAGCTCGCTGATTGTGGCTAGTTTTATCATGTTTTCTTTTTTTTTTTATAAAGATTTTGGAGATGGCCCAGAGGTAAACTGTGTGGCATGCGAGCTCAATTTTTATGATTGAATTAAGAAGGATCTTCTTTCTTTCCATATCCATTTATATAAGCAAAAATATATCAGCATTACATTATACTACATTTCCTCAATTATGACCATTTAATGTTTTAATCTCTAAGGCATCTCTTATGAAAGACCTAAAATCATTTGCTTTGCTGTAGGCTCATACTTCTGCTGTTGAAGATGTTGCGTGGCACTTGAAGAATGAAAACATATTTGGGTCTGTTGGAGATGACCATCTTTTGATGATATGGGACCTGCGCTCATCATCTTTGAAAAAGCCTCAACACTTGGTTACAGCTCATGAAGACGAGGTGAAGCAGCTTTCATGGGAATGTTATGGGGATTATTGTTGTCTAGTATTAGCATCTTGATTTCTTTCGCAATATATATAATGAAATCTATGCACCTGCAAGCGTCAATGTACATTTAACTGACCTTCAACATCCCATTTAATTAATTGCTTTGCAACTTGCAGAGACTTGCTTCTGTTGACCCATGGAGTTAAGGACACAACATGTGCAGGCATTTAGGAACTCTAGAAGATGTATCCATGGCATACCTGTAACCGTACAAACACAAAATTAATTTATTTTGTCTTGTTTCCTTAAACTATGTCACTTGCAACTTTGAGAATACAGAAGACATTTTGGAAACCAGTTGAGAGTTTTAAGATCAATGCTAAGAGCTATTAAACTATCTGACTGGGCTTCATTACTTTGATTGTATGGGATTCTTCTAACTAGCTGCTTCAGAATGTTCTGATCCTCCTTCATAATTATCATGTCAGACAGGCCTATTTAGGTGCCCACTATCAGTACCATACCTGCAATATGGTATGAGGCTTGGATTGTGCATCAACTTTGATTTGCATTTGTTAGCAGTTTTTCTCTTATACTATATTCAACACAAGTACAAGCACCGATTTATCATGGTTGAGGTTGTTATGTTCTTAGCTTTTCAGATACCATCTCTCTGTTTCCAGCTGTTAGATTTTAAGCCGATAACAGAATCATCAAGAAAACATTTATTTTGGAAATACCTTTCTTAGATTTCTAGAAGCAAGATGTCATGATATTTTGCTTGCATATGTTGCACTGGAACTGTTTGAAGGAAAAGGCCTCATATTGTTAAATTCGAGTTCTAATACAAATTTATATAACTAGAAGTTCTGGAGCTTCTCTGCTTTGCTATTAATTACACGAAATCACTTTATATAAGTTCATATGGTCTGAGTTATTTGTCATTATATGTTTCTTTTGCATAAACACTTAGAATGTGATTATTTTTGTGTTGCTCCCCCAGGTCAATTCTCTATCATTTAATCCATTTAATGAGTGGGCTCTGGCGACAGCATCTTCAGACTCAACCATCAAACTATTTGATCTAAGAAAACTGACAACAAGCTTGCATACCTTCTCCAGTCACACGTATGTATATGACCTTTACCTTCACCAATATTGAACTCATTAGCCAATGGTTAAAGCTTAATCTGCCATCTAAATCTCTACTAACATATCTATCTTATCTTTGAAATGTTATTTGTTTTTTTTAATTAAAATGAATCTTAATTTTAGAAGCCTACTTACCTGATGTGTAAAATTATCATGTATTCAATACACATGCTCCTGGATTATGTTTGGCTGAAGATTATGTTTCATTCACTATGTTCCTGGATTTAGGACACATTGATTTGCTAAAGTCTCTCATATTCAAGGATTTCCCTTTCGTTGACCGTGCTAGTGTCTTGTTTAGAACCAAAAGATAAAATAAAAAAGACAACATCAGTATTGGCCCTATCAGAGTGGAAGGAAAAAACATTCTGAACTTGAGAAACATAAGAGGAAACTTATGATAGATTTTAGATTAGATGAAACTGACATTGCACTCATGTAAAATAGGACTCAACAAAATATCTTAGAAGGATGCTGAAAAGAGCAAAGGAAAAGTATGCTAAATTCACTATCAAGCAAAGAAGCAACATAGACATTGTAAGTTAATAACCTTGCTGGTTAGCTGTTATATTGGGTGCCTTTATTTGCCAAAGACCCAAATAATGTCAGTAAAAAGTGTAGCTTATTTCCAGACAATTATAAGCCTTTCGGTTTATTATGTTTTATCCACTACACTCTTGGTTTTGATAACATATATGCGTGCAGAATTCCCAGGCTCAAGGATTTCCCATTTCACCAATGAAGAATGGACAAACATGACACCATATGGACATTAGAATGTAGGAGATGGCACATGGACACAGAAATACATAAATGAATATATTTTTGTATATCATTGCATATTAGGATATTTTAAGTTTAACTTGGTTAATAAATGATCGAATGTAACTTATTATATGCATTACAGTCATTCACAAAATCAACATTCATTCAGCAAAATGCTTCAACCATGTACAGAACTTTTGGAAAAATTATAAATTTCTAACGTTGAAGTCAGAAGTCTTAAATACATACATGTTGCGTTTTTTGATATATGTAGAATCCTTATGCATGAAACAAGTCAACTGAAGTGTATGTAATATATGTGCTATAATATGTTCAAAGCATTTGACTTGTGTTGCTGTTTGACACAGTCAAGGCAAGAGTTCATATGTATAAAGTATGAATAAAAAATAAAGAAAAAGGGGAAAACATATTTCTTCCTATATAAACTATAAAGTACACTCCTCAATATACAAGAAAAAGAAATCATATCCATTCATGATTTTTAATAACTTTGGCTGATATATCTGTTCTCCCTTCTGTCTGTTGTCGGTAGTGGTTGCCATTTTGGTCCATAGTTATACAACTTATGGTACTTGATAGAAATGAACAAGGGGTGAAGGATGAAAATGAGGCTGTTCATTTCTTTTATAGGTCTCACTATATAATTCAGGTAGCTGGATGTGGGCTTGGGATTGGTTTGAGTAGCTACAGGAAGGAAGCCGCTAACGCTTTTTGGAACTTGGGCTATTGTATATTAAAAGAAATTCTAGAATGATATGTATCCTTCTCGATAGACTGACAGGTTTACAACGTCTGCACCTGTATTATTGTCTGTCTTCAAAAACACTACGAGCAATGAAGTACATTTTGATTTTAAGATTGTGGCCTGAGTTCTAATATACTTGGATAACTAGGATAACTCCAAATCTGTCTGATTTTGCATTTTTCCTGTATCTTAAGATCTTTAGATCTTTTCCAGGAATTATTGTCTACAGCAATTGTGTTCAGGCAGTGGGGCACAGGGGTGCAGCAAATATGTTTTCCTTGTTCTTGTCACCTCTAGCAGATAGCCAGCCTCCTACCTCTTTATATTGTTGTTAGCATTGTACTTCTGTTAACCGAGCAGTTTGTCATTTGTTTTTGTTGTATATTATAAATTCATGGTCTAAAATCATATAGGTACATGGAATTGTCCTTGTCTAGTTTCTTACAGGGGTCCCATTTGAAGATCATAGAGCTTACTGGGTATGATTTTACAGGGGAGCAGTGCTTCAAGTAGAATGGAGCCCAAGACATGAAACTGTTTTTGCTTCATCTGCTGCTGACAAAAGGCTGATGATTTGGGACCTTTGCAGGTATATATAACTTTGAACCAAATGCATGCAGCATTTCTACCTTGGATTCCTTGTATTTTTTCTTCTATTCTGTACATATTTAAGTTAATACCTTCTGTTAGGCTAGCCTGTGTCGACATGATACAGGCATGGGACATGCTGCCTTGCGTGGGCATGTTGATAAACTCTGGCTCATGTTGACCTGTGATAGTTGATATACAGCTGATGAGCTTCTTAATGGCAGGACATGCTAGGCATTGTAGAAACAGAAGAAAGGCAAAAAAATGGCCATACTGAAGCAAAACTCATATCTAGTATCTAAGCTTGTACTGCCAATAGGGTGGAATTTGTCAATTTGCCAGGCAACATAAGATTATACAGTTAGGAATTGCTTAAGTAGTAGATTAAGTGCATAACTAAATATGGGAGATTTACAACTACGAAAGCAAGGGGCATCTACAATGACAAAAATATGAAACTGGTGTGGGATGAACTTGCATTTGGCTCTTGTATTAAGCATCGTTTGATTTCCGTGAAATTTTGAGAACTGACTGTTTGTGTTAGGTAAATGAACAACTCCAAGATTGAATTCAAGTACATATTAGATGGAGGATGGCTGAACAAATAAAAACAAAGCACATTGGACGCTAACACCCATTTCTGACTTCTACTCTGCATAATTGTATGTTGTGTCAAATTTTGCAATTCTTCTCATAATTCTGTAAATCATAGGACTTGGTTGAATAACCAAGAGAAGCGAATACTTGCCCTTCAAACTAAATTAATTATCCAACAACTCCATTAGCTGAATGAAGTTTTCTCCAGCAATTTTTTTTATATTTGTACAAATTGTATCAGTGCACTTTCATAATGCTTGCTGAATTGAGTCTTTGAAGCAACTCTAAGCCTTCACTAATTCTTGTACACTATATAAGTTATATAAATGCATTTACAAGAGCTTGCATGTTAATAGCTACAGTCAGTAAATAGTGTATATATTGGCAACAATAAAAAGTTTATGAAATCAAAGATATACAATGTGGTGAGAGCACTTCATAGGATCCTGAAGTTTGTGGTCATGTATCAGAAATTGCTGGTTGGACTGTATCTGTGAATAAATCAGACGTGATATCTGATGCTTGCATATGCGTAATTTGGTTTGATGAGAGGTGATGTAAGTTCCAATCATGGTATGTACATACAATCAGCAAATCCTGTATTACATAGCTTTTATTATAAACTTCATCCTCCCGTCTATTCCATCTTATTACAATTAGCTCTGTTATTCTTTGGGCTAATGTTTCAGCATATTATTATTATCTTGGTGGATTCATAATCTGGCATCATTTGCATTTAAATGTTCCAGATAATAGACTTTACCTGGGCTTTTTGTGATCCCCAGCTTTGATTTCTCATCCAGCTCAATTGTATTTCATTTTTGTAAATAAATGAACAGGATTGGAGATGAACAAACAGTTGAAGATGCTGATGATGGACCACCCGAGCTTCTTTTTGTCCATGGAGGTCACACCGCAAAGATATCAGAATTCTCATGGAACCCTGAGCTGCCATGGGTCATTGCCAGTGCGGCAGAAGATAACATTCTTCAAGTCTGGAAGATGGCCGAGAGCATTTATCGAGATGATTATGATTCACAAGATGACAATGATCATTAAGCAATATGCTACCTCAATCGTCTAATAGCTTTCTTCTTTTTCTGAAGTTTGAGTGGGGTGAAGCGAAACACATAACTTGATCTTTTTCAATCGTGATTTGGACAGTCAGGCTCTGATCCTGCAAGTTAAACTTCTGAGCTAGTTTTATTCAACTTCTTGGTAGGTGGGTGCATAGACAGAGCAGCAGTGGAATTGGCATTGGCAAAGTTGGCTTCCAAGAATGACCCAAATGGAACTCTTGGTGAGCTTTTGGCAAGTGTTTTTAGTCTGTTGAGACAAGCTGTGTACTATAACTTAGTTGCTGGTGTGTTTCCAAATTATATGTGACTATCAATGCATTATTATTGTTGCAGTATGTAATCTGTTGACACAAGCTGGTTTATGGTTTTTTTTAATAAAATTAAAATTCATAAAGATATTATTCATAGAATAAAAATAGGATGATTAAAATGATAAGAAGGAATAAGAGTTATGTGATGCTATGTTTATGAGAGAGAAGTTTGTTGGGTATCTTTGATGCTTTTATATATGAATATATCTCTTAAGAAAGAAAAAAAATTATATATATTTTTATTCTTAAATAAGTAAGTATCACTTGGAAAGAAAATAAAATAAGTAGAAATCATTTAAAATGATTATTACCAATGGTCTGAGAGATAATAATTTTTTAAAAAAAATTATCAATAAAGATTAAAATATTCTTAATTAAAGATATGGCTGATCCTAATAATGGCTAAAAAAATCCCAAAGAGGAAACAAAGCATACGATGGACTAACCATGTCTTTGCCCGACCAACATGTCATGTTGTGTACCTCTGACTTCTTTTTGTGTAGAGTGACAAGACTCTCTCTCTCTCTCTAACGATTCCAAGAATATATTGACCCCAAGAATTAGATCTCCAACTTCTTTGTCATATTTTATGGCTGTCGACTGCTTGGTGTAAATCAAGTGATGTTTGCTTGACGATTCCATTTCTCGCAGTTTATTTTGCCTCGCTGGTTTCTCGATGACTGTGGAACACTCGTTTAATAGATGTTGCCCATCGTGATACGAAGCCCAACACAGTCGGCTTATGTTTTCCTCACCCAAGCGAGCTCGTGTGCCATCGACCTCAGGTGTTTGAGACAGTAAGTATCTCATGAATTATTCCGAGGATTTTTCAGGCACGTCTGACAAAGTTCACAGAAAAGAATAGAACAAATCAAAAAGGAGTTCCGGCGACAGATGTAGTAGCACTTTGATCCATCAGCTTTTACATGTCCGCTCTCGAGCCTCCGTTTCCTCCCATTATTTCCTTTGGGCAATATCCAAAAACGAAGTCCCAGATTTTTTTTTTTTTCTGGATATTACACATACATAAAGAATTGAGAGATTTTCTTAGAAAATATTTATATTTTAAATATTTTTTTTAAAATATCTTTTCTTTTTATTGTTTAATAATATTTTAATTTTAAAAATACTTAAAATTTTCATCAAAATTTTCATCTATTTTAATTAATTTTTACTCTTAAAATATTTTTATTTAATTCAAATATAATATTTTTCTACAATATCGATTTACTAAAATACTATAGATATTATTAAAAAATATTATAAATGACATCATACCATACATCTTTGATTGTCATTGCTCATAGATCATTATCTTATTTATTTTTTAAATAATATCTTTAAATTTAAAATTACTTTAAATTTTCTCATTAAAAATTTTATCTATTTTTATCAATTAAAATATTTTTTAAATTATTTATAATATTTTTTATAAATATTTATAATATTTTATTAATGTACTAAATATATTATAAGTAACATTATTTATAGGAAGATTTTAGACCTGTAATTAATGTTATTAAAGTTAAAAATGTATTTAAATTTGTTGCTGCCTTAATACCGTCAACCAAGAGTCGTCACGACTCGATCTTGACCCGAAGGTGCAAAGTTGTCCAAGTGACTCGTGACGATCAAGTGAGGCGGTTGCTATGGCGAATGAGGTGGTCGAGGTAGATCCGAGGTAGTCTTCATGCGTTCGATATAGGTTTTGATCGTCTTAGAGATTCTACACAAAGATCGATGTCGAAAGGGATTTTTTGACATGACTCCTCCGACAATCAAATTATAGCTCATTCTGAAGTAATGGGGATGAGAGGGTTCTGGGTGAGGGGAGTCTAATCCCTAAGTAGACGCCGAGGATTAGCTCTTACACTTGGGCAACCGGGGGAACCACCCATGATTTTCTTAGAAAATATATATATTTTTAAATATTTTAAAAATAAAAATATCTTTTTTTAATAATTTTTTAATTTAAAAATACTTAAAAATATTCCTTAAAAAATTATCATATTTTTTATTAATTTTTATGTCTTAAAATGGTTTCATTTAATTCATCTATATAATATTTTTAATAGTATTTACAATATTGATGTATCAGAAATAGTATACATTATTAAAAATATTATAAGTGACATTATGTTATACTCATAGACTATTACAATATTTATTTTTTAAATAATATCTTTTATATTAAAAATACTTAAAAAATATCAATTTTTTTTATCTATATTTATCAATTATATTTTTGTTATTTAACTCGTTTATAATATTTTTAATAACATTTATAAATATTTTATTTATACAAAATATTTATAAGTGACATCATATCATACTTCTTTTAGTATCATTATTTATAGATCATAATAAAATAGTTTAGACTTATAATTAATCTGATTGAAGCTAAAAACTCCTTTCAATTATTTATTATCATTATTTATAGATAGATCATAATAAAATATTTTAGACTTATAATTAATCTGATTGAAGCTAAAAAATATTTAAAATATTTATTATATTTGATTTTAAGTAGACTTTTCTGATGACCAAAGCCCTATAACAGGTCAAAAATATTATAATAAACTAAAATATAAAAAAATAAAAATAAATAAAAATACTATTTAAGAAAATAAAATAAAATGAGATACCAATTGAAAAATACCCTGTTTATAAAAAAATCTCCCATAAAGAAAGAATCACATGTATATAATATCCGAAACGAAGTACTCTTTTGTCCTTCTTATCCACAGATAAGGCACATCGAGTCACGCTTCTAAACACCCTGCATGCTTCCTAGATTGTATTGAAGTGGTATCACATATAGGCCGAAAAAGATCACTTTGATCCCAACAAAATCCCTCTTAGAGAGAGTCGAGATTAGAATCCCAAAGCTGAGCATCCACAATACTCGCACACGCGATTTTGATCGGAGCGTCAAAGAACGATTGAAGGGGTGAAAGCAACGTTTACTACTATTATTCTCTGGAAAGATAGTTTTAGATCATGTACAGCGAGTGTGGAAAGAAGCAAAAGGAAGCAATTAGGGTGGTGGGCTTGCTGACCCCGCCGGAAATCACCATCTGATCTTGTCAACTTGGAAAAGACCGTGGAGTATACCTCACCATCACAGCAATGGTGACGGTAAGATCTTATCGCGTGATCAACTTATCTACAAGCACGACATATTTCACCCTTTCTGTCATGGCAGCTGGATTGCACTCGAAGGCGTAAAGGAGAGGGAAGAAGATAGGACAGGAGGTGAAGGTTGCTGGTCTTACTTGTCGTAAAGATCATCCGAGATGCACTGTTATTGATGAAACGAAAGGAGAAGAAGACGCAGGGAGACAGCTAGGATACTACAAGTAGACAAGTTGATCCAATGCAAGAAACTCAACTAGCGTCAAACGCTACCTGCTGTCAAAAGAACAAACACGAAGCATCCATGTCGCAGAAGACCATATGAGAGAAGATAGGTCCATATGTGTACACCGAGAGGGAGAGAGAGAGAGAGAGACTTGTTTATTTTGTAGGATTAGATGCAGCAGCTTAGGACTGTCTTGTTCTTCTGCAAGGAGCTTGCCATGCCTTGCAGAAGCAAAACCTGTGACAAGCTCAACTCACTGTCCTGTAAGAAGAGAGCGAGAGAGGGTTGCATCTGAAGCTCCTAGGCTCCCCTCTTTCCTCAAAACGGAGCAGTTGAGGTTCTTTGGAGCTTCCGCTTCTTGGCGGCAGGTGGCTGAGCCACCATCGTCTGCTTAAGCAACTGCGCAAGCAAAAGGAGGACATGAGCGGGCGAGAAAGTACAGTAGGATCCTGCACATAGGAGACTAAGGTAGCCTTCTCTTGCGGACGCAGACTCATGGAAGGTCCCTGTTGTTGGGTCTATGGATTACCTCCTCGTACATGAGCTTTAGCTTCCTGTTCTCTTCCAAAAGATGCTCTACTGCCGTCTCCAGCTCGCTCGTATAAGCCTGTTTAGGAACTCTTATGAGACTGCAGAATTCAGAGAAGAGCCAAGAGAGAAAGAGAGACGAGGATCATGCCTGTTTCCTGGCTCTGGACCGAGCAGCCGACTCCCGGTTCTTGATCATTCGCTTCTTCCGCCCGTCGACGACGGTGCCGTCGCCGTTCTCGAAGGCCCCGTTCCTGATCATCGCGAACCCAGCGGAGCAGCTGGAGAAGGAGCCGTCGCTGTTGCTGCAGTTGGAATTTGGGCTGAGGCAGTCGAGGAACTGGCCGGACCCGAGGCTGAGGGTGGCGGGGCGGCGAACGCAGCATGTGGGAGGGATCGGATCCGCCACCCTGAAGGCCCCGGAGAGGAGGTCCTGCACGGTGACGCCGGCGACGTAGGTGGAGGTGGACGTGGGATTGGAGTCGTGATGGTAGTGGAGCGAGAGGGGAGGCGTGGAGGGCATGTCTTGGTTGAGGCTGCTGAGGCTGATGTCCTTCCACACCTCCACCTCCTCCATCGCCTTCCCTGGGGTCTGGGACGGCGCCATAGACGAGGAGGAAGAGGTCATCGGAGAGGAGCCTACTCCACCACTCATGGCAACACACAGAGACCGGCTTTGATATATATATATATATATATATATATATAGAGAGAGAGAGAGAGAGAGGCGTAATAGTAAGCAAGCTTCTGGCTTCTTCTTGTTTTTGTTTGTTGTTCCGTCTTGCACAAAGTGGAGCCCTGCGAGGGCAATTAACGTACCGGGGATCACGTGGAGAAGGCGTCCTGCGGCCTCCAGCCTCATGATTTTGCTACGGCCATCGCCTGCCACGGACAGGGAAGCAGCATTCTAAAAATGAGTATGGCCTGGTTAACTTCTTTTGGGTTGGCCGAGGGGGCAGCCGGAGTACGTGGGGTATGACACGTCCGTAGCTCTGCGTGGGGCCGTGGCATGCTTTATCCACAGAGCGGGAAGGAGATGAGGACCGTCAAAGGCAAAGACAGGGGAGACAGAGGGAATCTGAGGTCGCCGTAGGATGGCACTCACTACGGGATGTTTGATATCTGATGCAGCGGCATGTGTGTCAAAGACAAAAAGCTCAAACAAACATATTAATTAAAATGGTATCACGGAAATCTGATACAGTAAAGAGTAGCATGCGTGTCTGACAAAAATGGTAATCCTTTTTTTCACTGTTTTCTTTAAGATTAAATATGAGAGATGAAATCTTCTAGCGTCCACCGGATTAGAATTTTGATACGGTACAATAATTGAGGAGGTTCTCATTCCCAAATCGAATACCGGTATGTGCAAGGACGCAAATTACACTCTCCCCTTTGGGTGGTGAGATGACAGTACTAAGGACCACTAAAGGGTCACTGTGGGATTATATTGATAAATCCAGCAATTTACCTCATGCTTATTTACATCTCATGGCCTCAGAAGCCTGACATGTGATAAGATGTGACAAGCTTCACATGACCTAATACAATTTTTTTTGTGCCATTATCACAGATCTGCTAGCTGTTGAGCATGCTTGTAACAAATCATCTACGGAAAGAAATCCGGAAGGGTCTATTTGCAAGAGGAATAACTATTATGCGTTGATTTGGACTCAATTTACCCGCACATTCTATTTAAAGTTGCATTCAAATGGTCTAAACTTGCCCCTGAAAGAGTGGTTACCTGTCTCATGAGTGTGATCTTCCATGCCGGTTTGTCTGCTAGGCTTGCTCAGGTCTCTTCCATCAGCGAAAACAAATCCACACGTTTCCAGCAAATCATCTTTGAAGACAAATATTCTGCAACTCCATGGATGATTACACAAACGGTAATATGCATAAGATATACGACAGATCTCAGCCTGTGTTGTGGATAATCTATCTATTCAATCCATCAAATAATTTGAGGCGATTATTTGCAGCTGCAATTAAAGAATAATAGGTATATGTAATGTAACATTGACAGTATTGGAAACTATAACCATGCCCGCAGATTCAGCTCTGGGGAGATGAGAACCGCTATGCGCCGCTGATTAAATCCATTTCTTACCCCCCAACAACGGTGGTATGTGACAGCAAAAGACTGGGGATTCAGAAAGCCCATCCAAAGGAGCCATGCCAATGAGTACCGCCAATCCGAAACCTCCTTTCCACTATATGGTAGTAGCAGTTCAACCTAGAGATAATTGACTGGAAGTTAAATCTCTCAAATTCTTTCTTCGTTTCTGTCATTTTTTTCCCCCTTCTTTCTTGGTTGATGCCCATTTGCAGCCAAGGCGAAGACCTCAACTAATGGCTCTCAACAATCAATCCTTTTCACATTCTCCGGTTCTGACTCATGCATTCGAATTTCAACGAGTCTCTCCTGGCTAATCTTTCCATAGTTCTGACTGATTGGGACGACTGACCGGTCTCCATCTTCAGTAAGAGAATCCTGCATCTAGTTGTTGAAACTTCCAGATGCTGATCTACTTCAAAGTACCTCATTATGAATCTGACAAGTACTATTGGGGGGTTCCCACAAGTCTAACTCATACTATGATGGGAAGAACCCTCGTCTAGTCCAAAAGTATGCATGTGAGCAATGACTGAATCATAGCCTGGTGTTAGTGGAGATTGGGAACCAGAAGCAAGATCATACTGATTTGGGGTTGGTGGCATCATCCATTTCATCCAATCACCACGTTTCCTTATTTTCTCACCCTGCATCAGATTGCATCAACAACTGCAGAAGTTAGCATATGGCCCAAATAAATTTACGCAAGTGTAAAACAAATTACTTATTAGCAAGGTATGCAATTTCAAATAATACCGCCCGATACGGGCGGTACGTACCGGTCCGTCAGTTTATCGGTACACGAACCGCCCGTTACTAGACGGAACGATATATATATATATATATATATATATATATATATAAGGTGACATCACGTCGCCTTTTTCGGCGATGTTGCCAAGGCAACGTGATGTCACCTTTTTCGGTGACGTCGCCTTATATATAAGAATATTTATATATAAATATATATAATCTTATATATATAAAAATAAGACGACGTCACCTTTTATAAAAATATTATATATATATATATATATATATATATATATATATATATATATATATATATATATATATATATATATACATACATATATATATATATATACATACATATATATATACCGAACGATATACCGCTCGGTATACAGTTTCGTACCGTAACGAGCGAACGTCGAAACTCCGTTACGATACGAAATTTCATACCTTGTTTTTTAGTATCCTTCTATTTTGCAGCTGCATAAGAATAACCACAATGGCAGTAACATATTGGAAATTGGCATTGATCAAGACTTGGCAAAGGCACCTACTTATGACTATCCTATGTACAGGAATATAAAGCATATACAAATAAGAAGAAATAAAATGAAAAGTTGTAAGCTGTACCTGCACTTCTACCACTGTTGAACCTCGTACTGCATCCAATATATGTGGCATGTCCCTTGTCAACTGTTTGACCTGCAGGAAACGAAACACAAACAATTCCATTTGTGATTAAAATATGGACGAAATGGAAGAAGATCCAGCAAATGACTAAAGCATATTAACAAAACTATCCAGATCCTATAAATAATGGTTTTCTCCAGCCATCCATAAAACACAGCTAGCACAGCTAGTCAACATAATATGTTGATCATGCCTAATAAGAATCCTGCCCAATATAAATTCATTTATATAAAGTCAAACCAAAACTTCAGCAGATAGCTATCACAGATGAGGACGGTTAGATACCCAAAAGTCAAATTGCACTATTGTCAAAACTAACAGACTGCTAAAACCAGTTCAAAACTTGGTAATAGTCTCACTAAAATAAGAAAATATTCAATGACAGAGTAAGACAAAATTATCCTTCCATAACCCAGGAAAGAATAATATGGACATGAACAAGAAGAAAGTTAAAAGAACATAGAAAGCTTCAACATAATCCAGGTATTAAATTTTGTGAAGAGCTGTGTGATCCTTCTTGCAGCTGAACAAGACCGGCAGCATCCGCATCCCTTTTGTCAGTATAGACACCGGCCTCACAGCCAAAATTTTTGACAGATCAAATCCAAAATGTAATGAAAATAAAAAAGCTTTGATATAATGTGACCCATGATAGGACCTGCACTGCAATTTTTCCCAAGTGTCATAAAAATCCTCCGTCCCATAGTTGTTTGAACCAAACTAGATTAGATGGTTGGACCAGAAAAATTGAGAAATGAACCATTGGTCAGTCTCATCCACTTATCGATAAAAACTCAAAATAAGCCAGCTATCTGACCAGTTTTTAATTTTTTAATATAGCTAAAATTACTTACAAACCCTTCCCTTAAACCTTCTTACCATTTATCTTAGAGGGAAGTTATGTTAATTTTAAATTAGGATTAAAGTGAGAAAGAAAATACCCTTGCTTATCTGATCATTCCTCTCCTACCTCCTCTTCCTTTGATCCCCTCCACCTCCTCGTCTTCATTTGACCACCCTTCTCTCTCCACCCTTTCTATCTCATTTGTCTCGTCTCCCTTTGGCCATCCATCTCCTTACATCTTCCCTCATGCATTATCTATTTCTCTTTACTCGGCAACTCCTTTACTACCAGCCACTCCTCTTTCTTCAACAAGGTCTTTCTATCGACCACTCCTCTTTCTTCAATAATGTCATTCTTCAGCCGCTCACATTTCCATGGCCATCTACTTTGTTGCTATAGCTTCTTGTTGTATTTCACCATATTAGAGGTTTTAAAAACTTGAATATGATATGGAATGGACTTCTGTGGGGTAGAACTACGTGATAGTTTGATAACTTGAAACTATAATTTTGATCTTTAAGTTCATATGTATTTGATATTTGAGTCATGATAATTATGCTGCATGTATTTATTTCATATTGCTGAACAATTTATTTTTGTTTGGACTACTGTAATTATTTTTTAAAAAATTATCATGCTTTTTTTTTGTTAAGATTTATGCTTATAATATTAGTTAATGTTATTTTTTATTATTCACATTTATGTTTAAGATTGTTCTATTTTTTTTATTAAAATAGACACTTTTAGGTTTTTAAAATAATTTCTAATACTATAAATAATTTTATATATTTTTAAATATTTTTTAAATAGACATATAGTTTGACCCGTTGACCTACTGATGCAACTAGTGACCCAACGCTTGACTAGAACACTTTGTAGTTTGGTTACGATAACTATGTTCCATATTGTAATCAAAGCTAGCTAATAGACAAGAGAGAGAAAGTGCGAATAGGCCTACCACCTATACAACTCAGTATTGACAGCAATACCAGGTGACACAGGTGACATGATAATTATGCTGCATGTATTTATTTCATATTGCTGAACAATTTATTTTCGTTTGGACTACTGTAATTATTTTTAAAAAAAATTATCACGCTTTTTTTTTGTTAATATTTATGTTTATAATATTAGTTGATGTTATTTTTTATTATTTGCATTTATGTTTAAGATTGTTCTATTTTTTTATTAAAATAGATACTTTTAGGTTTTTAAAATAATTTCTAATACTATAAATAATTATATATATTTTTTAAATAATTTTTTAAATAGACATATAGTTTGACCCGTTGACGTACTGATGCAACTAGTGACCCAAGGCTTGACTATAATATTTTGTAGTTTGGTTACGATAACTATGTTACATATTGTAATCAAAGCTAGCTGATAGACAAGAGAGAGAAAGTGTGAATAGGCTTACCACCGATACAACTCAGTATTGACAGCAATACCAGGTGACACACAGTGTGGAACTAGACCAAGCAAAACTATTCAGTGTGGTCAAACAAGCATATAACAGTCGATACAGACCAATCTAACTAAAATTATAATCCTTGGTCCTAGGAATGTCTAGGTTCAATATATTTGTAGTCAATGCTTATATATCTATGTTTATCAATTAGACATGAATTTTGATAAATGAAACAATGCTTCATCAGGTTAGATGTTACTTAGTAATATTTCTAATCTCTCTCATGAACAATTTTCCACCACCTAGTCTATTATTTCTTCATTTCATAGTTTCTACCTCTCGCCTTATCATTACCCTTATCCTATTTGTACCTATTTTTCTTACATTAACAGCAATCTCCTTTGCCCCTCTTGCATCACTCTCTTTAATAAGCATGTTTTACATCCAAAACCAAACCACAAAACCTTAAACCCTTGCATCTAATATTATTACAAAACTTTGAATTCAAATTGCCACCTAAAAAGGACCTGATGACAATCTCAAAACTCTCTCAAACAAGCAATGGAGGGTAAGAGAGAAGTTTAAGTAGGAGTTGGCTGCACGACAAGAAAAAACACTAGCCCCATACGTTGTCTTGGTTTTGAGTCACAACTTAGATAGTTTAGTAGCTAGGAATAAAGAAAATTTTGGTTCCTTAGGATAGGTTAAATAATCTTTAGTAAGAGAAACCTAAATTAGGGACTACTGTGTAAAATAAAGCAAGAATAGAGGGATATGGTATTAGACTATGTGACTTTGGGCAATGAGCAGCAAGTGTTTCCTATAGTTGCATCAGATGATTTTACTTGGACAATATTGTAAATTATCGTATGTTTCTAAAATTATGCAAGAGAAAATTTACCATACAATTTTTTTGTTATAATTATATGAATACTTACAATATAACTATATGTTTAGCATGAATTACCACACCAGCACTCTGAGCATGGTATCCCACTTTGTCAGCAAAGGACTGCGCTCTTCTTTAGCGTTAAATGTGTTACTTAAAGTTATACCAGAACAAAGAATAGAAAATTGAGTCAAAGCATCTGTTATTTATTTTCTATATAATGCAAAACAGAAATGACTAAAAAGAATGTTTTAGTCTTTCAAATTACTTATCAGCAATAGGGACAAGTGAAAAGTGGTAAGCAAAAACAAACAAGAAAAAGATATCGAAGTAGTTTAAAACAACTCACCCGATTAAAGCTAGCAATTAAGGAGATAGGAACCCAACCTTGATCATCCATATTCCTTCGCAGGAAAAGGTCCTTGCAAAGATTATCAGGACTATAAACGCAAACAAGTTAATACATAGATATTGAATTGCACTAGAAAATCTTAGTTAGCCATAGAGACTCTTGTAACACCTGAAATAGTATTCTATCTGTTTGACCAACATGAAGCGCTGATGATCTGCTGGAGGAAGAAACATTGCTGGGGGATTCATATGGGGCAGTTGATGGGCAATGAAAGGCATGCTTCTAAGTGTGTCAGTAGGTGGAGGTGGCGGCAGATAATAAAGAGCAGAATGAAATTCTGGTATCATGAAGATTATCAAAACTACAAAACCCACATGACAAAGTAAAGAACCTATATCAGAGGCACTGCATACCAGGGTAGCCCAAGGGGCTCACGAAAGGCCGAAAATATGGTGGCATGCCAACAAAAGGTGCCGTGGTGGGCGGTGGAGGTGCTCGAATGAATGGTTGTGACTGTCCCCGCTGTTGAGGCAGTGGCATCAATATGTGTGAATCTCTACCACTAAAACCTCGAGGACCACTCCAGTCATAGCCACCCTGCTCCTGATCACGCCGGCTACCGTGGCGCCTATGGTGGGCATTTCCCCTTTTGTTGCCACCATAACCGCTTCTCTGGTTATTGCTGCCGCTTTGCAGCTGCGGCAAGAACTCATCTCTCCTATGCCGACCCAAATTGCTATTACCGTGGTCGGCAATACCCTGCGGAGAAGATCCCTGAGATGTGTCTACACTGACTGGAGGCATCTCTGAAATAAAATGAGGTTCTTGAGATGCTCCAGGACCATGATTAGCTGCTGAACTGCTGCCAGTGCCACCACGTCTCTTCATTAAATTAGGGCTCGAATTAGGCCCCTGGCGACCAAGAGCATCATGATCCTGGGAAGAAATTGGGTTTGTGCTCTTAGCATTTAGCTTCATCTGGGAAGAAGCGATCATAGATCCCTAATAACACGCGCAAAAGGGTCACTCTACATTAATATTTAATACACAAAAAGAACTTCTCATCTAAGAAGTAACAACGATTTGTTCAAAGAGCACGGGATCACACCAGGGCAGCAGCGGCCGATGGTCCATCCGAGAGAGCCATCAACGAGTCCAAAGAGGAGGATCTGATAGACACCCTCGACGCGGACTCTGGGAGCGAGGGCCAACAGTCCGCCCCCATCACCGGACCCGCCTCGCTAGCTCCATTGGCCGGCACGCTCCAAGCCGGCGTCCACCCGCGGTCTCCTGCCGCATTGCCGCCGTTCCTGTGCTCCTCGCTCTCCGCCGTCCTCCAGCCGACGGCGGCATCGCAGGTCTCCCCGGGCGGCGAGGACCGCTCGGGGGGTTCCGGGGGAGGGTTCCACGCCGCGTCGGCAGAGAAAGCGGAGGGATGAGATGCCTGCGACATGATCGGGGACGCCTAGGTTGCACCGGGCGACGCGAGGTGAGGAACGGCGAAGAGAGAGAGAGAGAGAGAGATGAGGATTTAAAGGAGGACGGAGGAAACTTCGGAGGGCTTTACTGCGAAAGCCACCGGCAATGCTCGTGCCCTCTCTTTTCTCAAAGATTCTGCGGAGAGAGAGAGAGAGAGAGAGAGAGACGAAGGGAAGAAGAATCTCGCGGCGCTTCTCTCTCCTCGATTCCTTCGTTTCGTTTGGGAGAAAGGGGAGGAGTTGTTACGCAACGGACAGCGGTGGCAGGAAAGGAACGGGGAAACGTCTCCTGGGGCGTTTCACGTATTTACCTTCTGCCCCCGTTCTTTGTCGCACATGGTTTGGTTTGGACGGGTTCGGTCGGACTGGGTCGAGCCGATTCGGTCAACATCAGGTTCGACAAGTGCAATTAGTGGATTCAAATTTGGGTCCGAGTGTGGGATCAAATTCGTCAAAATTCATGGTTTTACTGCATCCTATAATTCTACCAAAAGTATTTGAGATCGCTCGGATAGCAAAAATAAGATTATTCAACAATGTGTGATATGGATCATTCAACAAACTCAACTCAATCCACTTGTACTCAAGTTTGAATTTTAATTAGGTGAGTCCGATTGGGCTATCAAGTTTCCTCTATTTCAAACTGGCCAATCATAGTTATCATCCACTGAAACAAAAAGTTTGTATTCAAAAGCAAACAAAAAATTTATCCAATGTATACCATATAGTTGTACTCAGACAAGGCTGCTCCAATGTCAAAAAGTGCGTCAGAGAACATATTTAAAACATGCATTTCATATATAAATTAGTGATTGATAATTTTTTTTAAATTATATTTGGTTTATATGTTGGATTATCAACACTCAAATGTTAATGTTATCTTATGATCATATTAATATTTTAACATTTATGTGATGTAAATATATATATATATATATATATATATATATATATTTATATTCTTAGAATATCCTATGATATTTAAAATAACGAGATTGTCCAACATGATTTATATTTTCTATAAGTTTAAATTTTATTTATTTATTTTTTTAAAAAATATTTTTATATTTATTTTTTATAAGTCTAGGCGATATGAAAGTTTTTATAAGATTATTTATTTATTTACTTTATTTTCGAATAAATATTATAAGGGTAAATTTATCACTAATATTTAAGGGACTCTTGAAATATAATCTTACCAAATCTTACTTATGTCAATATATTTAAAATATAGTTTTCATTTATTGTTTACCAAATATCATTTCATAGCTGTACATTCACTCACTCAAGCTCCTTAGAGGAATGCATATTAAAAATAAAAATATGTTTATCTAAGATAATATTTTAGTTTCATTAAATTTCACATTATATATAAGGTAAGGAGGCTGACAATATGTAATTATTGGAAAGTTTTTCAAATACTGAATCACTTTGTGAATGATTCGATCATTAAACATTCAATAATGTGTGAATTCAAGTGGTATGCTTATGAGGTATAGCTCATGCCAAATATAATTTGAATGTTTGATTAAAATTTGCTAACCATCAAGCAAATCATATACTCTTAATGATGTTACATTTGTTCCCGTTATCTCTAACAAGAAATTGAGGTCAGCAATTTTTTATCATTTTTGGAAAATGTGCAAAAAAATTGCTAAAACTATATTACAACATCAAGCAAAAAAGAAAAATCCAAATTAGCACGTGTTGTATGCATTGTATTGCTCAAAAATACATTTGAAGAAAAAGGTGAAAGGTAAGATTGGACATAACATTGTAGAAATTTATCTTTTAATTATGCGAGATTAAGTTAAATTAGTCATGACATGGCATCATATTAGACACCATGTAATCTATTCAGATATTTAATGCTTATCCAATAACCTTAGTCATCGATCATTTTGTTATAATTTAAATTCCTTTTTTTCTTTAGTGTTAAGACAATCAAAAATTTGTTCTTATGAAATCAATTGTAATTTATTTGATCTAATCTATATGTTGAGAAAAGTGTGCAAGATTAACTACGATAGCAGTAAGACAAGTAGGTGTTGTGCCGGAGTCAAGATCGAGATCACGTTGGGAGTTCTAGAGTTCGTTGGAAGTCTGAACGTTCGTCGGAAGTTCTGCCAGAACCAACCGAGAAGTTCAGGAGGTTGCCAAAGAAGCTCGTCGGAACTTACCAAGAAAATCATCATAAAGTCTAGGAGCTTGCCGGGAGTCCGCCGGAGCATTACCGAGAATTCGTCGAATGTTCGCCAAAAGTACGTCGGAAGCTCGCTAGAAGAGCAATTGACACACCGAAACAAGAAGTGTTGTGATCATGTCTTAATTATCGTAGTTAGAGCTTAAATTAAGTTAAGATTGAGAGGTAATCCCACTAACTTAATAAGGGGCCAACAGGATTGATTTCGGCCGGATTGAACAGCCCAATCAGCCTTTGAAAATATGGCCGGCGGTGGCACCGCCTAGAAGACCTAGTCTCCCAGGTGGTCTAGGTGGTGGTGTTGAATCTCGTATTTTGATGATGAAATCAATTGATAAGTATTTATGGTTTGATCTGCGTTTTGAGTGACGCATGATGCTTCGATCAGGATGAGACAATTAAAGTAGGAAGAATCATGTTGGGCCGGAGGAAAACATGTCAAAAGATTGGACGTCGGGCCGAAGGATTGGTCGACGTATCGACAGAAGGCTTCGGGCCAAGAAGAGGGGATATTGAGCTAAGAATATCGGAGTTACGGAGTCAACTGGCCGGTTGGGCAATAGGCCGCAAGTGAGGACGATGCGCCGAAGAATCGGACGAAGCATCGATGGACCAATGACATGCCGGACAACATGATTCATGCTTAGTATTAATTGTCTAGATCGAAGTATGTTTTTACATACTTCCGGAGTCAAGAACGTAATTTTGTTGGGAGTTCGAGAGTTCGTCGGAAGTTCGAACGTTCGTCGAAAATTTTGTAGGAACCAGCCGAGAAGTCTCGAAGCTTGCTAGAGAAGCTCATCGGAACTCACCAAGAAGATCATCGTGAAGTCCAAGAGCTTGCTGGGAGTCCGTTGGAACATTGTCGAGAGATCGTCGAAAGTTCACTAAAAGATCATCGGAAGTTCGCCGGAAGAAACTAGACTTACAAACTTGTTTAGCTTAAATATATCTTTTTTGTGAGGACCTAGTGCATCACACTAAGACTCTAGTGTATCTCTTAAAACAATAACCCCTAGTAAACCTTAGAAGTTCTTTTTTAAGCTCGAGTTAGTAAGTTGTGTACTTACAAATGAAGCCCTCCTATTTTATCATATAGATATTGAAAGGGGAATGCAAATATTACTTCCTAGAGTGGTTTCTAGGGAGCCTAGTTCCCCTCTACCCCTCCGACTCCAAAACTAAATGTTCCATTGATCCTTTTTTGTTAGTTCCTATTGAAGGGAGGTGGTCAATTGTCTATGTGCTTTTAGAGCTTCCTAGGGCCAATGCATGCCTTTATTCCTTCGATATTAAAAGAGTACAATTTTGAGGACATGATGAGACCCTTGGTTGCTCTCATGATCAAGAGGATCTAGGGGACTTTCCTTTTCCCCCTCATGTTAGTTGTTTGGAGAAAGTTATCGAGAAGTTTGTCTATAAAAGCAAGATGGTAAATTGGAAATAGAAACAAGAAATTGATTGAGTATAAAAATGAGGAGCCATAAATGCTTACCCTTGGGCAGTGGACTTAGCTTGGTTTCGACAAGTCACCATTTGCTTATCTAGAAAATGGATTTAGACTCGAACAATACATAAAAATTTTAAAGAATCACCCATTCTCGAATCTGACCAACCTTAAAAGAGTTTAATAAACTTTCAAGTGCTCTATGAAAGATTGAAAAACCACCCCTTTTGAAAATAAATAAAGAAAAAATATTCCTTCTAATCCTTTTTGGAACTTGATGCTTTTAAATCTTACATTTACTTTGGGTTGAAATGAAGAATGCTAAACTCTTAAAAGCAAATGTTATAGCATGGGTGCAACAAGGTCAACATCAACAAATGCTGCAAGGTACAACACTAAGAGTTCAACATCGATGCTACCTAAGTAGATGAGATCTCCTAATGTAAGAAAGATTATGACGACGAAAGCATGGAGGGTGAACTGAAGCCCCTCCTATAATGCATTAGTGTAGGTGTAGCAGTCATGATTTGATATATAGGATTACTCAATAGGACAAGCAACTATGAGCTCGAATGAATTTGGGTGGAATGAAGAAGTGAGATCGACAATGGTTAAGATCTTCAAGACCAAAACAAAAGTTAAAAGGAGCTTGTCTAGACTTTAGTGTCCATTATCGGAGGGGATCATTCTCAAAGGGGAATCCTTCGTTGTAACAACACTTTTGACCTCTTTGGAGCTAAAGGGACTTATAGGAGCAGAGCGAGGTGAAGAAAATAGCGACTAATTCAATTCCAAAGAAGATGAAGGAGAAGTGGAGGAAGATATTTTGGACCTCCAAAATGAGGGTTTGGCATATCAATGAGTGCTAAAGATTAATGGTTTGGGCATGTCAAGATTTTTAATAACTATAAAAAGAATGAAGATTAATGCGATTGAATCTAGCCATGAAGTGTTTGTTATCTCTCAATCCCTAGAATTCTACTACGTGACGTCAAATATCTCTTACGTGACTGAATTCAACTTTAATACATCTAATATTTTTTACATGGTTGAATCTGGCCACGTAGAATTTGATACATCTAATACGATTGAATTTGGTCATAAAGTGTTTAACTTAATCAGTCAAGTTTCTAAGGCATGGTGATTTATCGATTAATAAATTCTCCATCAAAGACCTGGTAACGTTATTTTGGAAGTTAAAATAATGTTCATATTTTTTTAGATTTTTTTTTATCTCAAAAGAAGTATATTCAAGATTTATTATTACATATGAGCATATAGAATGTCAAAGAAGTCATCATCTCACTCTTTTCCGCAGAGTTACTCAAATTATATGATAGTAACTCTACTATGGATCATACATAGTACCGATAAGTACTTTGTTCTTTGTAGTATTTATCTCTTACATATTCAAACATTTCATTTACAATCAATAAATTATCACAATTCATATATTGACTCTCCACTATATATTAGCCTACTCTAAAATGTATCCTACAATATCTTAAAAAAGCTTTCAATCATGAACTTCTTCTTTGTAAACATTCATCATTTCATCTTCATGCCTTTGACAATATTGATTAGATAAGCAATACTTATGATAAAACATATATATTTGTGTACACTATTTTGCTTGGAGCCAATATGATTAGTTGGAGTTTCAAAAAATAAAAATATTACAAAATCTACCATTCAAGCTGAATATTGAGCCATCACCACCACTATTGCAAAAATTAACTTGGTCACTAATTCGATACACAAACTTGACATCACATTCCAATCCACTCATATATCGTGATAATATTACTACCACCTACTTATGCTTTAACTCGATATTTCACTCTCCTATGAAATATATCATCAATGATTTTTTTATTTTTTAGAGATTAAGTTATCAGATCTTAACTACGTGTTTCTCATATACGTATTTATGATCAACTAACTCTCTCACAATGTCTCTTACTCCCATGATATTTTAGTTACGTTGGTGTAAGATTGACATTTTTGATAAAAACTCAATCTTATATAAGCATGATAGAAGATCATCATAAAAACATCCTTTATATTCTTTTAATATTTAATTAGTCTATGATTTAAGAATATATGTATGATTTGAACTTATGATTATGATTAAGGAAGATCTTTTCCTCAAATTTATATAAATTATATTATTTTAATAAACAAAATCATCCCCTTTCGCAGCAGATTATTTAGACGCACCCTTGTCTCGTGCATTATATATCTCGACTGTCATACCGTCTCGTGTTATATATCTCGACTGTCATATCGTTCACTGGGAAGCCATAGAGTGGACGAACTAGAGAGAGAGGTCGAAGGAAGTGACGGCAGAGGGGGAGCACCCGCCGGCGAAGGATTACCATGACCCGCCGCCGGCGCCGTTGCTGGGCCTTGGGGAGCTCAAGCTTTGGTCCTTCTACCGGGCTCTCATCGCCGAGTTCGTCGCCACCCTGCTGTTCCTCTACGTCACCGTGGCCACCGTCATCGGCTACAAGGCTCAGTCTCAGTACGACCAGTGCGGCGGCGTTGGTATCCTTGGGATCGCTTGGGCCTTCGGTGGCATGATCTTTGTCCTCGTCTACTGCACCGCCGACATCTCTGGTCCTTCCACCGCACTAATTCTAGCTTCACTTCTCTCCCTCTCTGTTTCTAAACTCGTCAAAGGTCACTCCTTTAACGCTGCCGTTGGCGTTCGATTGTGATCAGGCGGGCACATAAACCCGGCTGTGACGTTGGGTCTATTCGTGGCGCGGAAGGTGTCGCTGCTGCGCGCAGTGCTGTACATGGTGGCGCAGTGCCTGGGCGCCATATGCGGCGTCCGGATCGTGAAGGCCATCATGAAGCAGCAATTCAACGCTTTCGGCGGCGGGGTTAATGTGGTGGCCCCAGGCCACTCCAAGGGCACCGCCCTCGGCACCGAGATCGTCGGCACCTTCGTCCTCGTCTACACCGTCTTCTCCGCCACTGACCCCAAACGCAGCGCCCGCGACTCTCACGTTCCGGTGCGTGTGCATATGCACGATCCATTTCTCCAAAAAGATCGCTGGTCCAAAGCTTTTGCCGCTCCCGTGTAGGTGTTGGCTCCTCTGTCGATCGGGTTTGCGGTGTTCATGGTACACTTGGCGACGATTCCGATCACGGGCACCGGCATCAACCCGGCAAGGAGCTTAGGAGCTGCGGTCATTTTCAATCAGCACAAGCCGTGGCATGATCACGTCAGTCTCTTCATATTAACTTGGTTTCGTTTTGATCTCAGGATTTAGAGGAACATGATCTGGTTTTTGCCTTCCTCTCTGCAGTGGATCTTCTGGGTGGGTCCTTTCGGAGGAGCTCTGGCGGCGGCGGTGTATTATCAGTACGTGTTGAGGGCGTCGACTATTAAGGATTTGGTCTCCTTCAGGAGCAGCCGCAGCAACTAAAATAGCAGCATATCTTTCTTTCTGTGTTCTGTCGTGAATGTGCTAAGGTGGTCTGAAGACTGAAACATCGATTGCTTAATCGCCTCTCTCTCTCTCTCTCTCTCTCTCTCTCTCTCTCTCTCTCTCTCGTTTGTTGTGCTGTGAACTCTTTAATATATTGTGATGGGTTACAAGATGTTACTTCGCATGATTCATATCTGTGTAGGAGACTCTGTTTATAGATTTAGATGAGAACTGTGCCTTTTAGCTTTGGTTGTGCGCAATTATGGGACAGAACATTCCCCCAACGATGACAATCGACTACAATCTTATCCACCCTTGTCTTCATCGTTGTTGCTGGTAGGGACACAACAGTCAAGCACACTGCTATCTTTCGAGATTGTAGAATGGGACGGAGAGAGGAGAAGAAGAAGAAGAAGAAGAAGAAGAAGAAGACGACGACATGGTTGTAGCGGCGAGCTTTAGGCAACGAGATCACAAGCTTCCTCATTGCTGATGTTTAGCAGGTACATGGCATGGAGCCTTTAGGGAATGAGATGATGGAAGGAGATAAAGATGGATCGTCCGCCACCAGACCGGAGACTGTGACATGATCGTTATGGTCTGGTGCTGCTGTGCCTCCGCCATGTCTGTCTCAGAAGGAGAACCTCCATCTGATCTGCTCTTTCCAAGTAACAGGACCTGCTTCGCTTCCCTGTGGGCGACACTTGGCCAAGGAAACAAAATGGTGTGTGGTCATCACGGCCATTCGCAAACGTTTCTGCATCCTTAGGGAAAGAAGCCAACCTCCCATCCACTGTCGTCGTCCTCTCCGCCTTCGCTCGGCTCCTTTTCTCCGTCATTATCGTCGATCCCACATGTAGCTTACCTCGCTCTTCCGCTGTTGCCTCTCGTCACTCCCTGCCTTCTGCCACACTCTATGAGTGGTTGAAGTTTGAGGTACAATCGATAAGTATTCTAAATTACATTAAAAATGGAAGAATGTGATTACATTGGTTCAGAAAATAAACCTGAAAGCGTGTCAAGTTCAATTTAGAAATGCATAGAATCACAATAAATAAATCAAAAAAATTATGGATTCACTGTTGCCCATTTTGGTGAAAGTTTGAGGTTCAATGAATGCCTACTCCGAAGTCATTGCGAATTGTGCCTAATAGGGCTAAAAAATAATATAAAATCACCAAACACAGAAAATGCATGAATTTATTGTTGATTTACTATTGGAAATTTTTGATTGAGACTAAAAGTCTATTTAGATCATTTATGATATTTCTTTTGGTGCCCAAAAATACTATAACAGGCGAAAAAATTATTATTGAGGAATAATCTGAATATTTTTTAAATTAGAAATACTATTCGAAAAGTAAAATAAAATAAAATGGGAGATATTAACCGAGAAATATCCAAAATGTGGGTTATTTTTTAAGGGAGATCGCCCTTGTTATTACCTACCTATCCATGGTGAAAGTTTGAGGTGCAATCCATTACCTATTTCAAAGTGTTGTACCAATACTATACTTATTCACATGATCAACCTAAAGACATGCCATATTGGACTTAAAAAGTCCCTAAAATCATCAAATATAGAGAAAAATCTATTTATTACCTACCTATCCATGGTGAAAGTTTGAGGTGCAATCCATTACCTATTTCAAAGTGTTGTACCAATACTATACTTATTCACATGATCAACCTAAAGACATGCCATATTGGACTTAAAAAGTCCCTAAAATCATCAAATATAGAGAAAAATCTATTTATTCATTATTGAGACATCTTTGCTTGTTTGTGGTAAAAGTTTGAGGTTCAATGGATGAGTATTTCAAAGTTATCATATTTGACTTAAAAATTTCTAAGATTATTAAGAATACAGAAATCTATTAATTCCCTATTGATGTTTGTTGCTCATCTATGGTGAAATTCTAAATTAATTTGTAAACATGCTAATATTATTGAAAAAGAAAAATCCTATGAACTTGCTATTAAGTTATTGTAAGTCATTTGTGGTGAAAGTCTAAAGTGCAAATGATATTACTCACCTGAAGTCACAGTGATCCATACACAAACACTGTTACACTTATGAAATTATTAGTCCCTAAAATCAAGTAAAAGCTAGAAAAACTAATTTGCTCACTATTTAGATATCATTGTTAATTTGTAGTGAAAGTTTGAGACACTTATTAGAACGCGATTATACTCGTTTATATAATCAACCTAAAAACACACCAAATTAATCTTTAAAAAAAATCATAAAATCATCAAAAAAAAATAGAAGAACCTCTGTCAATTTGTGTGGGAAGTCTAAAGTGCAATTTGCACCAATTTCAAACTTACTTTTTTTTTTCTTCTCATTATGGTGAATCATATTTTCTAATCAAAATCCTTTAATTTGTATAATAATAATAATAATAATAATAATAATAAATTGAATTATTTTCCTATTCTCTCTTGAACTCTTGTTTTTTATTATTTGATTTATCAATGAGTGTTTCCATGAGAATAATCATTTAGGTTGTTTCACTAAAAAAATATTATTTTAATTGTTTGTTGTCACACTAATTGAATCATTTTATGCACCACAATGGTCGGACATAATATTAAAAAAATAATCAACATAATTTTAGGAGTGACAACATCAACTACAGTTGATCATATTTCCTCGCTTAAAAATCTTAGAAACATGGAGGACAATGATTAATTGAATTATCTTCTTGAGTGTCATCAAACAACTCTAACACCATAAAGAGACGAAACGATATTGTTGAGAATGATGATTCATTCAGGGTTGTGTGTATATTTAGAATGTGAGGGCATAAAATGCAAAACCATCAACCTAACAATATTCGAATTATTTCTTTAAGGATTCTTATTTTGAATTATTTTCATGAGAATAATCATTCGAGATATTTCCTTAGAAATCTTCATTTTAATAGTTTCCTCGACATTAGATCAATTATTTATTGCACAACAATGCTAAGAAGGAAAAACAATTAATCAAATTTTTTATAGTGAATCGTATTTTCTAATCAAAAATCCAAAAAAAAATATATATGACAATAATTAATTAAATTGGAAATTTCTCGGTTAAATTTACTTGTACGCCATCACCAAAGAAGACACTCTTCTCATGCACTATAAATCTCTATGATCTTCTCGTTCTCTTTCTTCTCACAGAAACCCATTTCTCCTGCGAGATACGAGAGATGACGGACGAAGTAAGGGTAGTGACGGAGCACCCACCAGCGCCACTCTTCGACGTGGGGGAGCTCAAGCTCTGGTCCTTCTATCGTGCTCTCATCGCTGAGTTCGTTGCCACCCTCCTGTTCCTCTATGTCCTCGTGGCTACCGTCATCGGCCACAAGGCCGCGTCTCTAGACAACCAGTGCGGCGGCGTCGGCCTCCTTGGGATCGCTTGGGCTGTCGGCGGCATGATCTTTCTTCTCGTCTACTGCACCGCCGGCATCTCTGGTCGGTCCTCTCGCTGCACTAATCTTAGCTTCATCTCTCTCTCTCTCTTCGCATTTGACGCGTTGCTATTGGCATGATTACGATCAGGTGGACACATCAACCCGGCCGTCACATTTGGTCTTCTCCTAGGTCGAAAGGTGTCGGTGTTGCGGGCGGTGTCGTACATGGTGGCGCAGTGTGCGGGCGCCATATGCGGCGTCGGAATCGCGAGGGCTATAATGAAACACCAATTCGATGCTTTCGGCGGCGGGACTAACGTGGTGGCCTTATGCTACTCCAACGGTGCTGCGCTTGGCGCTGAGATCATCGGCACCTTCGTGCTCGTCTACACCGTCTTCACTGCCACCGACCCCACGCGCAACGCCCGTGACTCCCACGTTCCGGTACGTGTCCTCCGATCCCACGTGCAGGAGCTCCTCCCTTCGCGACCATGCAGAGAGTAATTTCTTGAGCTTCGATGTAGGTGTTGGCGCCTCTATCGATTGGCTTTGCGGTGTTTTTGGTGCACTTGGCAACGATTCCGATCACAGGCACAGGTATCAACCCGGCAAGGAGCCTCGGAGCTGCTGTCATTTACAACAGACGGAAGGCATGGAACGATCAGGTAAGTTCGTCTTGGACAAATTTCATATAGTATAAATGATAACTAAAAGCTCTTCCTCTTTATCATAATCTCTCCATCTATCAAATCGGACATCTTTTGGCTCTACCTTATTTCACCTAGTCAACTCTTTTTTATGAGGGGTCAAACCAAGAGTTTGACTTTATCTATGAAATATCAAACTTCCTAAATATGAAATGTTATAAAATTTTCAAAACTCAGTGAGTCGGTCTATCTAATTTACCTCAAATTAATTTTGAACCAATCTCCAAAAAATAAAATAAATGATCGAAATAATAATAATATAGAATCTTTTTACTTCAAAATTAATGAGACTTTTTTTACTTGGAAATATCCAAGAGTAGTATTATTATTTTTGTCAACATCAGCTATATCTTCCACATCTTTAAATACCGAAAACATGCTATATCTTTTAGATCTTCAAACACCAAGAACTTGTCTCGCTTTGCAATGTCTTTTGTATAAGGAGGTAAAAATATTTTATGATACCAACAAAATTAAAATCATCTACTATAAGAAAATTCATGTTGGAAACTACTTAATCTGAATTTTATTTTTGCCTTCAAACTCAACAAGAATATTATTGAAAAATCTATCTCTTTTTTCATTCTCATTTTTTTTTTATTTGTTAAATTTTTTTTATGTTTTCGCTTGATTATGAATCATGTTCTTCTTTTGGTTTATTTTCTATTAGTGTAGGAGGATATACACTTTTCATATATATGTTCTAAAATTAATCAGACTTCTCTAGAGATCCACAGAAACAATACATTCGCTTGCTTAAGAGATTAATCGTAGTGCTCTCTTCTTCTCTTTTAGATATCAATGAATATTTCTTTCAATCCTTAAGTAAAAGAGTTCACTGTAATTTTTCATCTTAAATAATCGATTCCATCATATCTACATAATAAGATTATACCAAAAGATTAAAAAAAAAAAATCTATGCATTCAATATAATTTTTTTGAATGCAAGTTTGCCTCTCAATGTCTCATATATCTTTTTCTATCAATTATCACATCATTATGTCCATTATCTATTTGTTACTATAATCCAATATTTCTATTACCTTGTTGATTATGATATCTCCTCCGAGGGTTAAAAAGATTAAATTATCGTTTTCACCATTGATGTTGAAGATCAAGCTAGCCCTGATTCCATGATGATGAATTTCTAAGGAGATATGATAAAATTTAACAAAATATAGTGAAAAAATGATCTAACAATATATTAGAGATAGTGTTGATAAAAAACTCTTATCCATATCAATAATAATTTATAGTCTTTCTTTCTTCTTGGTTTTACCCTATATCTCTCTTGAACACTCCATGCATTTATATTAGTCATTTGATTTTGACTAAGACTGTGAGTCCTAATTTAATTAAGATACGTAAATAAATTTTAATCTAATCATAAAACCTAATTTATGATTCCAACCGCTACTTGTGTATCTCAAAAGTCTTAAAACTTGCATTGGTTTTAATCTCAAGAGTTCAAAGGTACCACCACCTTATCTGGCTTCTCCATTCCCTTTGCTGCAGTGGATCTTCTGGGTGGGTCCCTTCATCGGAGCTGCGGCCGCCGCGCTGTACCACGAGTACGTGTTGAAGTCAGCGGCTATCAAGGCCTTCCGCAGGAGCACCGCAACACCTGAAGCATCAGCTCCTCGTCCTCCTCCTCCGTGAACACAAACACTAATGATAGCTTAACTTTAAGCATTTTAATTAGTATTGATATGTCTTTTTTCTCTTTATATTCTCATAAACAAACACCGAAGAAACAGAAATTTGCTGTCACCGATGTGCGTCTCTTTTCATATATACCGTACGATATAATGGACTTTACCTGTAGCCATCATCGGATCATTATTCTCTCCTCCCATCTCTGCTCCTCGACCCAATCCAGGGCGAGGATCGAGGGTGCTGTGGCCTCTCATGGACCTCACACAGGCGGACCCCATCAATGGGTCCGATGGATGACTCACCCCTGAGAAGAGATTCATCACCCCGAGCTCTTAAAGACCGGTCCGGTCCGGCCCGGCCGGTTGTTGTTCTCGAACGTTCTCCCGTGCGACGCTCTTGGTCGGATAACTTATCCCCTCGAGCACAACAACAGATGCACACTCGGCGCTCTCCTTGTTGCTCCTAGCCAGTATTGCCGTCTGACTTGTCCGCTAGATTACGGCCCCTCGCGAGACAGCGCACCGCGATCCCCGAGTCGGTTCCCTATCACCAACTACAACACCAGGGGGGGCTCATCTCAACCATTGCGCACCGTAGGAAGCGAAACGATATAACCCCGCTTCCCCCAATGGAAGAGCGGCACGCGAGAAACTCCGTTGGAAGGAAGCACCCGAGAGCGGAGCGACATGGAGGAAACCCTCGATCTCCACCCGACGCGACCGTCCTCCTCCTGCTCCACCACCGCCTGCCGCGGCCTCTTCACCGCCACCGAGCTCGCCGCAGCGGAGCTGCTCGTCCAACTCAGCGGCAGCAGCGCCTCCTTCTCCGCCGCCGCGACAGCGGAGGATCGCGCCTCGTCGTCGTCCCCCCGGTCCGTGAACGCGCGGCCGCCGCCCGAAACAACGATCCTTCCTGAGAACGAGGAAGAAGAGGAGACGGGGCCGTGGAGGAGGAATCGGCGGTACCGCCCGATCGCCGACCTCTACGCGGTCACGCTCCCCGCCGTGAAGAGGTGCGGCGAGCAGCGGCGTGAAAGGAAGAGAAGGATGAAGGAGAATTAAGTCCATGATGATCGCTACTTTCGGTGGTGTGCAATAGAGGAGAGGGCGTCGAAGAGTTGATGCCGTCTCAGCCCCCAGCGAGTTTGGGGTTTAATCGGCTTTGAATTGGGTTGCTATGTGTATCAGAGACGGACTAATATGTAAATACATGTTGTGGAATGAAGGCAAAAACACCAGCCTTTGGTGATCCGTGGAGCACACGCAGTTTGCAGTGGATGTCAACACACACGTCTCTGTGCGCTTCCGAAAGAAGAAAACTTATTTCGTTCTATTCTCTAACCATAAGGAGGCAGAGAGAGAGAGAGAGAGAGAGAGAGAGAGAGAGAGAAGAAAGTCTTAAGTGGTTATTAAGAACTTACGATCAGGATTAGACGTTGAGTGTTCTTAACCCTAAAAAAGATTGTTTTGGTAAGTCGAGACTTAATCATCTAGATGAGAAGAGAATAATCTCTGTAAAAGAAATATAATATATTACAATGATAATATCCTCGATCATTTAACTATATTGATATATCATGATATGCCTCGTCAGAGATGAAATGAAGTTAATGGGATGGATTACGGTTGAGCATGACTTTACCTAATTTTTAGATACGACTGTTTGGACGTACCCTTCCTAGTGGCCATCCCCTTTCTCTATGACGTGCCACGCAGCCAGAATCGACACGGTTGACTTTCCTCTGTGTGGAATGTCACTTGTAAGTAAACTTCCGTAAATAAAATTAAAAATTAAGACGGACGATAATTCGACGTAAATGAAGTCCGGTTAGGATAAATCTGTGTCGGTTTAGCCGGAGAGTCGGTCACACCACAAGTAGATTTCACGGGAGACTAATAGTTATTCGAGTCCTTTGGAAAGGGATGCCTCTCCATTGAGAAAACGGATGAAGAAGAAGACTTTTCCCTCCGATGGAAACCTCACGGCTGACAACTCTCAGCCCACTTTTCTCCTCGCTTAAGTCCACCCGCGGGACACCACACCGGATCTAAGTCGGTTCGCTATTACCAACGCCGAGCGAATTATTCCCCGACCATAGAAAAAATAATAAAGCATGGAAACCCGTTTGATCCAATAAAACAGACGGCACGCGAAACCCCCCGTCGCAAGAAAGCCGGGAGCCATGGAAGGAACACTCCACCTGGCCCCGGTGTACCCGCCCTCCTCTGCCACCGAGGTCGCCGCAGCGGAGCTGCTCGTCCAGCTCAGCGGCAGCAGCGCCTCCTTCTCCGCCGCCGCGGCGGAGGACCGTGCCTCGTCCTCCTCTTCCTCGTCTCCCGGGTCCGGGAACGCGAAACGGCAGCCCCCCGAGATAAAGATCTTCCCGGAGGAGGAGGAGGAGACGGGTCCCTGGCGGAGGACGCGGCGGTACCGCCCGATCGCCCTCCTCTACGCGTCCACGCGGCCCCTCCATGGCCGGGATCGCGACAACAAGAGGCGGACGAAGGATAGCTAACTCCATGCCCTAGGATTTCCGCACCATAGGACTACTTTTCGTGGGAGCCGATTACGGCTTGGGGTTTAGACAAAAGTAGTGTGTAAGCTTTTACATGATCCGTAAAGCATTGTCATGTAAACAAACCAACCACAATAACATTACGGTTTGAGTTGCTCGGTCTAACCTTACTCGACAGACTCGAGTGCTCCAAGTTGACGAATGCGATGGAATCGGATCGAGCGTGAGGTTCACGACTTCTTTCTCCATGACTCGGAAAGCTCACACGGTTGACCTTCTACGTTTCCTACATGTCATTTCAAACGAATCTGAGGATAATATTAGTTTGGCTCGAATCCAATCAAATGCTACAACCTTTGGGCTCGCGCACGACAGATCACGATGGTCTTACCAAACAAAAAGTTCTGTTGTTCTTCAATTCACTTTTAAAATTTTGAGTTCATGGTTTTTCATTTCTTTCATATAAAATTATTTCATATTAGATTTACCAAAGAGAAAGTTCTATTGTTTCATACATTAGGTTTATTTTATACTAGATTTACCAAAATAGAAAATTGTGTGGCCTGACGGTCACCCGCGGGACACCGGAAACACGACACATCATGAAAGTAATCCTATTCCGAGTCGGAAATAGAAAATGAAAATGGCTCGGCGTTACGCTCACCCGCGGGACACCGGAAACACGACGCGTCATGGAAGTAATCCATCCGATTCCGAGTCGGTTTCCGTTTCCTAAGCCCAGTCGGATTTCCATTAACGCTTTATAAGTACTTCCACGAAAAAGGCGGGGAACGAAACCATTGTCCGACCTCCCACCCCCCTCGAGCGCAGAGAAGAAAGCCGCGTCCGAGCGACATGGTGATGAACGCGCTAGTCGAAGCCAATCTCGCATCTCCTCTTTCTTCCTTCCTCGGCCATCGCTTCACCCCGGCCGAGCTAGCCGCCGCGGAGCAGCTCGTCCAGCTCAGCGGGAACCTGACCTCGTCGCCCTCCTCCTCCTCCTCCTCCCTTGGATCCGTCGGCACTAAGCGGAAGACCCCGTCCGCGGCGGAGATGGAAGACGAGGTGGAGGAGATGGGTAGACGGCGGAGGACGAAGTGGCGGTACCGCCTCGTCGCCGATCTCTACGCCGCCACGGAACAGATGGATGGCGGCGGAAAGCGGAACAATTGCCTGCAGCGACGGTAAAAGAGGAGGAGATGGACTTGTAATCGTTCCTAGTTAGCTACCTGAGTAGATTTAGATCATGAGACGCGGTGGCGCTCTGATTCGTCCGCCCTTCTCCCTGCGGCATTAGGCCATGCATGCATGCACTTGGCTAGATGTATGATTCTTCCTGTAACTTGTTCTGCACCTTCCCCATGTGTGCTTGTTAATGTCCTTGCTTAATACAAAAGAAAGCTCACTTCATCTCACCCAAGCACGAACGGCAGCGGCCAAGAAGCCGAGGAAGAAGAAAGGGTGGACGAGGACGAACCGTTTCCGGTGGCGTGATACTGACGATCACTGCTTTCAGGAAACAGTTTTAGGTGTCTGAAAACAAAAACTGTTTCACCCTCAACACCTACCTTTGCTTTTGCTTTTAGAAACAGAATAAACATTCAGGCAGCTGATTCAAACCCCCCCCCTCCCACCCCCCCCCACTCTTTTTAATGTGCTGAGATCTAGTCCATCTCAGCAGAGCTGTACAGAGACAAATTGATTGGACTTGGCATGGTCGGAAATGATGGCCAGTTCAAGATTTGCCCAGGGCAAATTAATAGCGGCGTACATCCACAATCCTCAAGTTCATGTATTGACTCCTTATGTCTGTTTCGGAAACTACACGCCAATAGGTTTTCTCGAGTGGAGAACAGCCAAACCGTGGTCGAGTAGTTCGTAATCGGCTTTAATACATAAAACGACCACGATTCAAAATAAAACGCCATCACCCACCATAGCAAGCAGGACGGCATGCGATCCTTCTTAACCACCTTAAATAGAAGACGGAGCTGAGTATCCGGATCTATCCGATCAACTTTAATCGGATTGGAACACTATGATTAAGTTCACAAGGGACATAGGCAGAAAAATTAGATTCACAGGTTGGGTATGGATTTGTACAAAATTCACGGGCGGGTGCTCTTTATCTATAGCCAATTTGATGAAAAAAAGATTTAAATTCAATATATACATAATTTAGCAAATGAATTGGTCTTATGAGTCCAGTTTGCAATGAAATCCAGGACACATACTTATGGGTGTGTTTGGGTACATATTTATATTTTTATATATATTTAAAAAACACTTGAGTCAAAAAAGTTCATTATGATAAATTTACCCTTCTAAGAATTTTAATATTTATTCTAAAATGAATACATATTGTTCATTTAAATTAATTAATTAATAAATGTATGTAATATTACAAAAAAATCCGTGTGATCCAAATATATAATAAATAAAAATATAATCATACAAATAAAATAGGAAATAATATTTAAAAATAAAATAAAAATATAATTTTATTTATAAAAATATATCATCAAGTGAGAGGAGTGGACGATGTGAAAATTAAGAGAAGGGAAGAAGATATGAGAATTAGAATTTCTATCATGTAGTGGTGATCTTATGATTTTAAAGAATGTCATCAGGTACTTTCAGAATACTACTCTAAGGTAATATCATAGTATTTACAATACAATATCAAAATCAAATATAATTTAAAAAATATCAAATATTATTTGATATTTAAAATATTACATGACGCCTTCAGGACACGTTGGGCCCTTAGCAACAGATTGTGCCCAGTGGCTTGTATCTGTTCGTTGCCACGCCATCCGGCCCAACAGCTATCAAACCCGGCTTCGGACGCGCATCTCGGCTGACCGCCCATAGGAAACATTAATACCTACACGACTCTTGTGGGGACAAAGTTGTCGATTGCAACGGCTGTTGCCATCATCACGGCCGTCAACAGGATCCCTGAGACGCCGTAACCCCCACACCACTCCCCGTTGCCTGAGTCGGTTCCTTTCCGGCCTTTGAATCCCACGACTTATATAACACACGCTACCGCAACACCACCACCACAAAGAATCCAACGGAGAGCGGAGAGGAACGCGATGGAAACCCTTACCCGATCCAGTCGCCTCCTGTTGCCGCCGCTGCCCGATCTCTTCTTCACCACCACCGAGTTGGCGGCCGCGGAGCAGCTCGTGCAGCTCAGCGGGAGCAGCGCCGAAACCTCCTCCTCCTCCCCTCGATCCGTCAATAAACGGCCACAGCACGGGGGGTTCTTATTGGAGGCCGAGGAAGAGGAAGGGACGGGCCCCTGGCGGCGGACGCAGCGGTACCGTCCGATCGCTGATCTCTACGCTGCGACGGAACCCATCAGCAGCCGCGGCGGAGGAAAGCAGGGCTAGAGAAGAGATGGAGGAAGAAGGAGATGACTTAATTGTTGTAGCTCTCGCCGCGACCGGAGCAGAGACGGAGGAAGGAGATGTAGCTCTTGGTGTGTTTGTGTTGTCGAGGGTAATCCTGGAGTAAGTCTACCCGTGTCTATAAGCCGTATGGGAGTCGGTATAACTCGACGGCAAGCTACGACCAGTACTTCTACTAGTGGCGACGCATCGAGGTTTGTTGCTGATGTCGTTGTAAGAAGTTTTAACCGCTTTCTTTTATCCTTCGAACGTCTCCGCTTTGCATTATTCCCTGTAAATGATAATGGAATGCCTAATAACTCGATGTTTCTTGCTGCATCAATTCATGCTCAAAATGCTGTTATAATTGTGAAAGATGATGATGTGACGAAGATTCTAGAAACGAAATCAATCAATACGTTTATTACTTTGCAGACAGGTGTGGTTCTTTATCTTCTCGGAAATAAAATCACTCACATAGGAATGCAAGTTGAGAGCACGAACAGTTCCCCTTCTTTCACATAGATTATATGATCGTTTATAATAGGATATGATATATAATAGAATTTTGATGATAGATATTAGTTAATAGAAAAAAAAGTCTATATTATAGTAGGATTCTTTATAAGATTCCTTAGGGGATATCTTTGATGGGAGGATATCTTCTAATAACTTATCATAGAACCTCTGCTCTCACCTATAAATAAACATGACCTCTATGAGACTAAATGATGCATATGAGAGATTACGATTTCTCTCTCAATCTCCCTAAACCATCAATAATAGTGGTCCTGTGAAAAGATAGGAAGAGAGGAGGAGTGTCTAGTTCTCTTTGCAGATCGACGTCATCGTAATATTCGGATTAGGAGGGACAGTGCCATTGCAGATCACACTGAGATCTTTTTCAGATGGCATTGAAAGGTATGCATCGTAAATTCGATCTAATATTATTTGATTTTAATCCTGACATAAATGTATTTTTGTATTACATATAGCATATCATAGATTTTATGCTTATAATTAGTATCATAGCCTAGGTTTTTGAGATCAAATACGTTATATTTGTTATTTTTATTTATGATGCTTAAATGTTATGCATATTTTATCGATATAAATTCTTATCTATTTTGTCTTTATCGCTTACTTGCAGGCGATGTTAAATTCTTTGTAACGCGATCTTTCATGATCGCAAAGCCGATCGCTATGCAACTTCGTTGTTGCATCGCTGTCGATGGTAGTTGTAGCAACCTTGCTGCGTACATCTACTATGGCAGATCTGTTGGTGGCAGCAGTTGCGCCGGGCAGCTCATGCGCACCGCAATAGTAACAGTGGCCACCAAGCAACGAGTCGTACGCTGCGATTAACCATGCATCCCAGCAGCCATGCTGACGACACTGTAGGTCGTCCACCGGGCTGGACGTGCATCGCGGTAATCGTACGCACACGTGACGACTACATAGCGGTGGCCACGCGCGGGCAAAGGCCGCGTCTAAGCAACAATTTCGCATGGGCAAAGGCTACGCCCAGGCGATAATCACATAGGCGGTAACCACCCGTAGGTAATGACCACACTAGCAGCGCTCACCCATGGGTAGAGGTTGTGGCCGCACGCAATTTTGACTAGTTATTAATTGAATTTAGTTTCAATCAAATTTAAAAATGATTAAATTTTGGTCAATTTTTGGTTTTGATTGACCTGCATAATTGGGCTGATATTTAGCTCAATTCTCGGCTTGCCCAAATTAAATAAAATCGATTAGTTTAATTTAATAATTTATGTTAAAAAATATAAATTATTATTTCTTTTATAGTTTTTTCATATAATTTATTGATTGCATGTGGTAAATAAAATTTGATTATTATTTTTAGATATTTATTTAGTTATTCACATATATATATTTAAAATTATGAAATAATATTTATCTTTCACGTAAATGCCCTTCATGATTTATATTTCATCATGATTACAGTTATCATATGAGTTTTTCCTTTTGTTGATTAATATTCAATAATTATTATGATTATTATTTTTATTATTAAACTATTCAGCATAAATTAGATTAAAAACTTTTGATGAATATTATTTGTCGGGATGTGAATTCTAATAAAAGTCTTATTATTTTATAAAAAAATTTAAACTATAATTTTATATTATTGTATTGGTCTTATAGCCACCAAAGTGACCTAGACTAATAACTTATAAAATGACATTAAGAAATTAGTCTTAAATGATATCAAGGAAATAATATTTACATATAATTAGGATATTTAGATAATTCCAAAAGAGAATATACTTTAAATAGTTATCTGATGGGTATGATAATATTGTTTTAGATATCCTTATAGTTTAGAGTTGTATACCCAAAGATAACAATACTATTTCACAAGTCTTGTATCAGACCACCATAGATAATCTTGAGTGAATACTAGATACATTAATATTTCACCTAAAGGTGAAATATTAATGATATCAATAGTTCATCATATCTTGGAAACTCAAAGCATTAATATTATTTTATATTTTTACAGTGATACTTCCTTCGATATATTCTCATGCTTCTAGTGTCATTATACTCTTTGGATCAAATTATTCAGAATGGTTAGAGCATGTGCAATTCACATTGGGCATATTAGATCTTCACTTAGCATTGCTTATTAAAAAGCCCGTAGACTTGATTGATGAAAGTACTATGGAATAAGTTAATGAAATGAAGACTTAAGAAAGCTATGATAGGCTTAGTTTAATGTTCATAAGAATGATGATTGCAAATAACAAAAGAACTTCATTATCGATTACAATTAGTGCACGAGAATATTTAAATGTTATTGAAGACATATTTAAATCTACTGATAAGTCATTGGCTGGCACACCGATGAAAGAACTAACTACGGTTTAGTATGATGGTACTCGAGGAATTTAGGATCATATTCTCAATATGGATGATAAAGTTGTAAAACTTAAAGCATTATGCATGAATA